ACAGAAATAGGCATTTTTAAAGGGTCTCGCCTTGTCACAATACTAGCCCAGCCTCCTAGGTAGCTAGAATTACAGGCGTACAACCACACCCAGAATATTCAGGTTGGTCCAGGAAGTCCCCCTGGGGCTTGCAGCCTCCCAAGCAGTAGAGCTCTCTACATTACCACAGCTGGGCAGAACATTGGTTTGAAAGTCAGAACAACGTTTCTGGTCTAACTTTTAAAATGACGTAATAGATTCCTCTGTCCTCTCCCTCAGAAAAATTCAGCTAAAAAGATTTTAAAACAAGGGGAGAATGATTAAATACATGAGATAGAAACAGAAATACCACAAAGTAGTTAAAAATAAATGAATCAAAACCATATGTATCAACCAAATAAATAAAGTATTAAGTAATAAGAACAAATTGCAAAAGGATACCTGTTAGTGTAATACTATCCATATAAGGTTTTAAAACATGTGTGTAATATACAGTTTATAAATGCATACACATACAGCAAAAGGATAAATACATGCACAAGATGGTAAACACCAAATTAAAGAAAATGTTACTTTTGAGACACAGAACAGAAAATCAGAACTGATAAAGGGGACAGCAATTATAATTATAGTGTTTAATTTCTCAAGCTAAAGGACAGACATTGTTAGGGCCAGTAGGTGGCGTGGTGGTTAAGGCAGTTGGATCCCATATGCTGACTGCAGTTTGAGTCCCGACCGGGCAGCCTGAAAAACACTCTGGATGCTGGTTAGGTGCATGTATGCCCAGAATCCCAAGAGGAAAATAGAGAGAAGACTGTGGCACAGCCATCTCCCCTAGATTGCAATTTCTCACTTTCCTTCTCTGTCTCTCTGTCCTTCTCTTGCAAGCTCATGTGGCCTATGGAAAAACTTTTTTAAAAAATTTTTTAAAGACATACATAGTATTATTCCACTTACTTTTAAAAAGAAAATTGCCAGGGAACCAGCAGTTAGCGTAATGGCTATGTCGCTGGACTCCCACGTAGTCGACCGCAGTTTGCATCCCGGACCCGGTGGCTTAAAACTCACGCTGGGCACATGTGCGTGTGTGCCCAAGATCCCGAGAGGAGAATGGAGGAGAAGGGATTGCGGCGTGACCATCCCCCCCTGGGGGGTGATTTCTCGCTTTCTGTCTCTAATGTCTCTCTCTGTCTGTCTGGCGAGCGCACACGCTCTATAGTGAAAATCTCTCAAAAAAAAAAAAAAAAAAAAGAAAGAAAATTGCCAGAGGGGTGGGGCCAACAAGTGGCATGGTGGTTAAGACACTAGATTCCCACATGGCCGACCATGGTTCAAATCCTAGACCTGCTGGCTTAAAAAAAATCACCCGGGCACATGTATATTCATGCCCAAAATCCTGGGTAGAGAAGGGATTATGGATGTGGCCTTTCCCCCAGAGGGCTCACTTTCCCTCTGATTGTCTCTGGTGAGCACATGCACCCTATGGCAAAAAAAAAAAAAAAATGCCAGTGGGTATGTGCACTCACCAGAGAGACAGAGAGATGGTAGAGAGCAAGCGAGAGAAAGTGAGAAAACACCACCCCATGGGACATGGTATACAGCAATCCCTTCTCCATCTTTCCCTCCTTTTCAGGATGCTGGGCACTAACACAGATGCGCCCAGCGTGTTTCTCAAGCTGCCAGATGTAGGACTTGAACAGCAAAGTTGTCTATGTGGGATTCTGCTGCCTTAACCACTAAACTAAGGGCTGGTCCTCTACTTGCTTTAATAGATGGATACACTTCATAATTGAAAAGGCAAGATGACCTGGACATAGTGGCACTCATGGTAGAGTGCCACTAGTCAATGCTGGAGCCATATGGGAAGGCCCAGAGTTCTGTTACCAGGCTGACCTAAACACACAGGGCCAGGGCCAGGGGGAGAACTGTGGCATGGTATGACTCTGCTTAGGGTTCTCCTCCTCTTTCTCCCTCTCTCAAGAAAGAGA